GGAATCACAGTCTGGGCTGAACGCCGCTCATCCGCGTAGAACTGAGACACTGACCTTGCCCATGAGGCAGGCAGCCCCAGCTCACCTTAGGGGTCTGCTTAGGAGCCACCTCAGGGGTTGGCTGCACCGAGCATGGAACCCAGCAGTTTGCAGAGATGGATCGGGCCTGCCTGGTCCTGCACCGAGGCTCCAAAATGCCATCGAGTGCCAATTTAACCAGAGTTTGACTGAAGATCATAATAGGAGAAATATGAAATCATGAACTGTTACTGCAATTAAAACCTCCATGTGCAATTAAGAAGATTCAGTGATGGATCCACTCAGTGATGTCCATCTTCAGAGGAATGATTGATGCCTTTAAGGAATACAGTCTCATAGTCACAGTTAGCAGGAATTGCTAGATTCATTTTAATACCGTAAGCTCTTCAGATGGCCAAGCTTTATAACTTACAAATCTACCTGGTGTCTGGATGCTTTTATATTATTGTGTTTGAAAAACAGAATGACAAGGAGAAACTCAGAAATTAAAAAAAGAAAATATGATTTGTATTATTTGCCTCCAGGGAATGTAATTTACCATGATTTAAAGCAGAATTAAATGATAATTATCTTTTGGCACTAATATTAATATGTGCAATAAAACAAAAATTATCAGACTCTGAGTGAGGCAGGGCAGCGTTTCCGCTGAGGGGCCCATAAAACCGCAGGACGCCCGGCTCACCAGGCTCTCCCCAGACAGGAAGCAGGGCTGTCTTCGCAGCCTGGGGAGGAAAGCAGACTCTCTCCTGGTAGGAGGAGGGTTCTGACAGTTGACAGAAACAGGGTCCTCCATGTTTCCTCCAGCTCGTGTGCAAAATCCTAAAAGGCACTAAATGAGAGGTCAGCAAAGCCAGAGGATTACAGAGGGAGGCCTGGGGCAGGCCTGTGTGCCCCGGAAGTCTGCAAAGCCTCAGTCTGGGCTCCAAGGGAGACCAGGCTCCCGCAGGCCCTGGAGGGAAGGACACAGGCTGCTCCCGCACCAGCTTCAGATCCCAGGTCAATAACCTAAGACTGAGGTGTCCAGCGCCCAGTTCTGCGCTCCCTGTGAAGCTGGCCCTGGCGGAGCCCCGAAGGCAGTGCTGCAGCCTCAGGAGGGACACAGGGGCCCCTGGGGTCCAGCAGGGGCCAGCAGGTGATGAACTGCTCGGCAGTGGCCCGGCAGAGCCACCTTAGGACAACGTGGGCTCAGGCTGAGGTGCTGACCTGGGAGGGCAAGAAGAGCCCTCAGTCACCCCTGGTTTTAGGAGCTGCTGGCCATGAGGGCGACCCCACACCACAGCACTGTGCAGCACAGGGAGCCCCAAGAATGAAGCATCCTCACAGAGGACAGTGGGAAACATGACCTGGGCCTCCCCAGGGCACTGCGACCCACATGATCCATTCTGACCCAAGGGCAGTGGCCCCAGGGGTGACCCAGCCCAAATCCCACTTGGTTCCCTCCTGGCCAGCATCAGACCCTTAGCAATGCCTCAGTGTCCGCATGGGGCAGGAGCAAGTGGAGGATCTGACTGGAAAATGGTGCCCAAGCAATAGGCAGCCGAGGGTCTACCCGACCCTGCAGAGCCCGGTCCCCCAGCGGGACCCTGACCCCACTGACTGATGGGTTCTGCTTCACGCGACCCCTAGACTGGTGTGGTGCAGACGACGGCACCATGCCAGCCACATGGGCACAGAACATCCTGAGGCTTTGGGCCCTGGAGGGCACATGCCCAGCTCTTGATGTGCAGAAGAGCACAGCCCTGGGCCCTCAGGTCCTTCTCCACCAACAGGACCTCTGCCTCCCGGCCCTGCTGGGCTCTGCCACCTGTTCGGGGCTGAGCTCCTATTTCCGCCCCTTTATACTCCCTTTAGCAGGTAAAAGGCCCCGAGCAGAATCCCAATTAATCAGTGCAAATCAACACACGTTTTTTGGCATAAACTTAAGAAATCTGCATTATTAGACACCTAGAGTAAAAAAGAACATGGTCATCTTGTTCTTAGTACTTTGTGAAAGATGAAGGCCTCTGAAATAAGGTGAGGACAGCGGTCTGGCCTCCTGCTGGGGAGGGGCATGCCCCATGGACCCCAGGATGAACCACTCTGAGGACAGTTCCCAGGTCACTCCCCACTGCAGGTTCCTCTCCAGGCCGCAGGAAGCCAGCCTCGTGCCAGCCACACTCCCCCTCCCGCCACCTAGGCACTGAGAAGGACTGCGCACTTGGACTCCAGAGACCAGGGCCTGGGCGGCCGCCCCCGACCCCACAGGCAGCATTCTGTAAGCCCGAAGGCCCAGCTCAAGCTCCCTTCTGAGAGAGGCCCCTCGTCTGCAAGGCCACAGAGCCCCAGCGCCTGGCATCTGGGAATCGCTGCACATCTGAGGCGTTCTCCAACCAAGAAGTGACACCCAAAGCTCCTCTTCCAAGTCCTAGAGGGTGCTTCAGGGCAGCCAGGCTGGGATCGGGGAAGCACCTGCCACGCCCCAGGGAAGAGCCATGGTCAGGTGTACACCAGTTAATCAGAGACACTCATGCGGCATCCGATTGAAAGAAACTTGCAAAATCTACCTGATAAATATTTGCCATACCTCGTGTACCCATTATGGATAGAGCAAAGCTAAGATGGTAAGATGACCCAAGACAGTGAAGAACCAACACCTAGTCTTAATTAGATAGGAAAAGTGGATACTGCATTCCTAAGTTTAAAAAATTGAGATTCTAGTCATTTCTTTAATGTATATTGATCATTAAATGAAAGAGATGCTTTTCTTAATGAACAGAGAACATTTCATATATGATTTTGTTAGCATTGAATTTCAATCAATATAAATCCAGAAGCCAAAGAACAGTGGTACTGAGATTCCCTCCTTCCTCACTATTTATCAACTTGGTTATACTTCTGTTTCGTTAATTCAGGTTTAGAATCAAATGCGATGGTACCAGCAGAATGCCCCTGAGATGTGTGATGGTAAGACTCTTTCTTGGTTTAGTAAGTACATTTTTATTGTGGTAAATACACATTTATTGAGTAACTACTATGTGAAAAGCTTCACAGGCTAGGAGACTTGGTTTGTTTTGGAAGAATGGTCCCTTGGAAAAGCTCCTGCCACTCTGCTCACAACACGTACTCACTCCCATCCTATGCTTTGCTCACCCACAGGAACATCAGAGGACAGCTAAGCAATGCCGTTTGTTTCTAGGTTGGCCTTTTCTATAAAAGAAGATGAAAGAGAACTGCCAACTAAGAGAATTTTTAAAAACACAGAGTACTAAGTCACAAATCATTCATTTTTGGTCAAATAAATGTGCCCATGTCTACCAAAGATGATTATAAGTAAAAGTAGCTTTGAACAACAGAAAATAAATATGCATACAGTCGACTGATACGTTTGAAACTTCAATGACAGTGGTCGCCATTGTGTAAATCCTGACTGTTTGTGATACATCATTTCACTGTTAAAACGGAACAAATTAAACACTGTTTTTAATGTCCCAAAATACCCTCTTCAGACTGAGATAGACCTGCACCTGGACAGCGGTCACTAAACACAGATCTGACCACTCCTTTTTCAGCCCCACATCCACAACCCAGCTCACGCCACCTTCCTGTACTCTGCTCACGCAGGCAGACTTAGATCAAGCAATGTGCAGGCAGCGGATATGGATGGGACTTCCTGAAGCCCGATTGTCAGCCCCATGACCTACTGAAAGCCTGTCCAGCTTCCATGGGTTGATTGCACCTGGCAGGCCACCTGGCAGCCCAGAACAAGGCACAAGCAAGTGTCAAACAATGGTACACTTGTTGTTGGGACTTCTGGGAGGCTCAACCTGCCAACCCCGAATGGCCCCTGATCACAATGACCTGTGCTCAGGAGCGCCCAGGGATGGGCTCCCAAAGCTCAGGCACTGCACGTCACCCCTGCCCCGAGGAGCTTCCAGACCTACAGGCGAGGTCATGCACGTGTGTTCTGAGTGGTTTCTCCTGCATTTGTTTATAGAGTTCAGAAGCAAAGCCAAAGGCTTCACAAAAGCAAACAAGACTGAGTTTCTAAAGTTTATGAGAGAAGTGCACAGATGCATATTTTTACACAACAGGGAGAATTTATGTGTAATATCATTCCTTAGTAAAAAATCAACACTTTACAAATCGTTTTAATTTCCTGCATTTGTACTCACGTATCTGGTGGTGAAACCTTTGGATCCTGCCTTTCTCAGCCCACCAGGAAGGTGAGGGACAGGGCTTGGCCGGAGCCAGGTGAGGGCCGCAGAGGGCTGGGAAATGCCCTGGGCAGACGCCAGGTGAGAGGGAAGGGCCAGGGCCCGGCCACCCAGTCCTCCCGGGCAACACCAGCCAGACACTCCTGATTCCGCCTGGGGCTGTGCCGCTGGGCAAGTGCACGGGTGAGAGCAGAGTCCAGCTGCTTGAGGACCCTGAACCTTGGTAAACCTCCCGACTTTCCAGTAAGTTGTTATTAAAGATGCATGTTGACGGAGACATAGAGACACCAGCACCCACCACGCTGACCACCTCGTAGCGGTCACCATGCCGCCTTCCCAGGAGGCAGCACGAGAAATCTCAGTTGTCACCAGCTCGGTCTCCTCTGCACCAAGCTCCTTGAAACCCCAAGATCACTCCCTTCCAAAATGAACTGTGGACACCAGCCAGAGGCCAACAGGAACTACAGGAAGAAGCAGCCAAAACCACAGCCATGGAGGACGCAACCAATGCTTGTCTACAGTCACCCAACACTCGACCCCAACAGTCATTGGTGTCTTTACATCAAACATTTCCATTTTCATACATAAACCTTTGAAGAATTTGGAAAGTGTAATAAGAAAACACCAACATCTTAAATGCATCTGGTGGCCCGGCCATGAGTGACCCTCTTAGGACTCTGTGACCAAGTTACAGGACACAACGCCTGGCACCCCCGCAGGCGAAGCTCCCAGCTGAGGCGTGCATTTGCAACGGTCGTCCCACTTTACCTGAGTTTTTATTGGTCTTGTTCTGTCGGCTTTTGACTTGCTCGGTCCAGAGGGTGGGATAACGTGACGCAATATCTAGTGAAGTAAAAGGAGAATCATTCTCATCAAAGCCCCTCAAAGGTTCCAGCAGGTAGCAAAGCAAACAAAGTGGGTGTGACACACAAGTGCACATCACTCCCTCCTAAAGCAATCGTTAACGTGATCATGTGCACCAAACAAAAGGAAACAGTAAGACTACTATTCAAATATTGTTTTAGCATATTTCTTCTTTATCCAAAGTATGATTAAAAACAGTTTAAATCCAGACAGTTTCCTGAGAACTGGGTATTAGAAAACAACTCAGTGTATGAAAACGTACTGTGTGGCACAGATGGTTGTTCATCGAACACGCAGGTTTTCCCTAAGTTGAAAGACTCAACACAAAATATAATTTTTGTGAAAAAAATTTCAGGGATGTACCATTTTAGTGAGACTGTGTAACAAATGCATTTGAATATTTATAGTGAAGGTCAGAGCTCTGCCCTGAGAACACAGATTCTAACGATCCCTTCGCCCTCACCACCCAGACACCTCTGGCTCTCCTGTTTGGAATGGGGTGCCCAGGTGCAGAGAGGGTGTGGCCTTCAGCACCATGTGCATGTCAGCTTATTTGCAAAGCAAGGTGCAACTGTATTCCAATCCCTGATTTATTTGTATTTATTTATATTTAAACCCTGATCCCAACTGATTCCCATTGACCTTAGGATTTGACCTGTCCAAAACAATTTATTAAAGGTGAAGAGAGGAAATCTATCCTCATCATAACAAAAATGTGAAAAGATGAACAGAGAAATGGCATATGTTATTGCACACTTTAGAAATATACACTTGATGTTATCTTAATTGTAAGATTCAGGGCTGGTAACGGCCATCAGATGCGGAGGTATAAGCAGGTTGCCACTCTGGGCCCTCCAGCTGTCCCCCCCACAGATTTGTATTAAAAATGGAATATCTCAGTGTTCTGCTATGTGAAGTACAATTCAACATCAAAATCCCCAGGAAAACAGCAGGTGCCCTCACAGAGGTTCAGGCCAAATATCTTGTTTGGGCATCTCTATTTAGGATAGACACTGAAACAAGTTTTGCAATCAAGCAGGTTAACATATCCTTCTTCTCACTTAAGTTGTGTGTTGTAGAAGTACCTGAGTTCACTGTCTTAGGAAATGCTCAGGACAGTAGCAATGATGACCCTCATGCCACACATCAGATGCTAACCTCCTCATCCCACGTAGGTGCAACTGGTGTCCTTTGGCCCCTCCCACCCCGTGGCCACCTTTCCTCTCGCCCCTGTGCTGGAAGACCGCGTTCCTGGCTCATCCCAATCCTCTGTGAGTGGCATTCCTCACAGGTTGACCTGACTCTGCCTCCCAGCTCTCTGGCCTCCCCCCCACACACACAAACCCAAATCATCCCCCGGGCTCACCTTCCTCATCTCCTTGAGGCTGTGTCTCCAGCGCCGGAGCGGCGGCATCATCTGAATTCAGAACGGAAAAGATTTGCAAGGAGACTACAATTATGAGAGTAAGCTAAGTAAGTGTGCATGCAGGACAGAGCGCAGGACTCGCATGCAGCCCCACCCACCCCCACAGCCACCCCGAATGGACGCAGGGGCTGTACCCATGCCAGCCCCGACCAGACTCTGATGGAAGCCGCAGGGGCCACTGCTTCAAAATTCAGCTCAAGGCTGAAAACCAAGTCCCAGGCAGGAGATGCTAGATGTGGCCCTGAGCCATGGGCCAATTCCCAGCCCCAGGATGGCTGGGGAAGGGGTGAGACACCAGGAGCAGGGGAGGCTAGATCTGGGAAAGGGTTCAAATCAGCAGAGTGGTGAATCAGGTCATCAGGACTCGAGGAGGAGACTAGTCTGGGGGACAGGGAGGGCGGCTAAAACCAGCACTGGGTGCACCCCCCTTTGGCGTGTGGAAAGGCAGCAGTTAGGGAGGCGTGGGCTGGACCACTGGCTGCCACCTTGAGCTCCCCCTCCTGCAGAATGATGCAGAAGCATCACACAGGAGGAGAGATGGGTGGGGTGAGGGCTAGGAGCAGGGAGCAGGCTGGGTGTGGCCACCCCCGCTGTGCAGAGGGCACCTGCCCAATGGACCATTTTCACTCAGACACCTGAGAGGTGACCTCCAGTTCCCGGGGAGGGGCAGGCATAAGATCAGACACAGCCTGCCTGCTCCAGAGCTCCTACTCATCCTGCTCTGGGACCAGCCCCGATGGGCAGTGGGGAGGCCCTGGGCCCCCAGGACCCCCCCTTCTCCACTCAGGCTTGCCTGTGCCCCCTGCTAGGTAGTGATTTCAGGATAAAACACAAGATGATGGCAGACCCTGGGCCTATCTGCTAACCCTCCCTGCTGAGGAATAGCAGTGAAGCTTAGCATAAGGTTTTTTAGGAGAAAAGCCAAAAAGAAATTTTTAAAAATCTTTAACATTGAGCTCTCTTGTTTATGGTCCAAATAATGACAAAAACGTGACATCATCTGATAGCAAAGTCTGAGCAGAACAACAATGGTAGCCAGAGCCAGGCCCGTTTCTACTAAATGTTTTGCCATGTTCTCAGACGAGAAGCTGAAGTGAGAGCCGGTCCAAGGCCCCTGCTCCAAGTCCTACGTGCACATGGGGAAAACCCTGCCAAGGCCCATCCTCAGTCTTCAGGGCTGGTGTCGGCCGTCAGATGCAGAGGTCTAAGCAGGTTGCCACTCTGGGCCCTCCAGCTGTCCCCAGACTCATGGGATCCCTGCCATCTAAGGGCTGCTGCCCAGGGCGAGGGAGGTGAGGGGTCGGGGTGTGGCCGGGGGGGCAGAGCCTTTGCTGTGCTGTCCCTGGACCCCAGGTGCCCTCAGCCTGTCCTGTGCTGCCCTGAGCAGCTCTGTGTCAGCACAAGCCCTGTGGGGGCCAAGGCAGCCCCAGGACATGAGACAACGGTCTCAGCGGCTGTGTTCCCCATTTTCCTTCTGTTAAAGGCCTGTCTGCTGGCTGGGGGCGTCAGTTCATTTTCGTGCCCACACACCAATTCCCCGGGACGGCCCCAGAGTGGGTTCCATGAGCATCTACAATCCTAACCATCAGGAGGAGAACCGTCCGTGAGCCGGATCCTCCCTCTCCTGCTCCTCCCTCTTCAGCGTTTGATTGACTTCTAGAAGCATGAACATTGCCACTTCCTTTTCCCCGACCTACAGTCTGACGACCACCAATATTTCACAGGTGCAGATCCAGACCCTCACTCGAGTGCTCAGAGCCCTGTCCCTTCTTCCCCTCGCACACCTGTCAAGCCAGGACCCCCTTCTGCCTGTCACTGCGACAGCTGGAAAATGAACGGGCACTCTTCCTGCACCAAGAGCTCCATCTCCCAGGGACTGTGGTCCGAGTCCACACAACTACCTCCCTCCCATCCCCATCGAGTGGTCTCTGGGCAGCTAGAGGTGACCAGGTGGCCACCCTTGTCTTCCTCCTGGGAGGGGCGGAGCCTGTCAGAGTTTCACTGTATGTTTCAGGAATGGGGTTGAATAAACCAGGGTCCGTTTGTCTTTACGTTACTCTTCTTTGCTACGGTTCATCATAATAACCCAGATCAGGGAAGAAAAGTTTAAGCTCTTTGCCCCAAAGTCTGATTTCATTTAACCTGGAGAAGATGAAACCAGAAAGGGGCCTGGGATGAGGACCACCACTCTGGTAGCCACAGAGGCACCCGCAGCCCCTGGAAGCTGACCCTGGCCAAGGAGTGGTTCTTCAGGGAGGAGCTTAACGGCCCTGCGCAGGAGGGGTGAGAACTGGCCCCTCCCTAGGGTCCTCCCAGGGACACAGTGCAGCAGTTCTGATACAGTCAGGGCAGGAGCCCCGAGGTGGACCCCAGGGCTGGCCAGGGATGTGCACCATAGCCACAGGATGACTGCAACCCCAAGACTGACCCCATGTCTGTTGAACAAATAAAGAACTGACCACTATTTCAGCTCCATTACCATTACTAATACATGTTTAAGTCTCAACTTGAGAAGTCACTTCAAGGCACCAACTGGATTAGGTACGAAATATCATCATGAAAATTGATGTTAAGATAGTTACCTGTTTTTCCTGTGCCTTCCCGTGGAGGTAACTTTTCATTTACAGAACCTAAAAGAGAAAAATAAAAAATGAAATTATTTTTGGTCACCAAATGGTGATCAATAATTTAGGTGAGCAGCTATTTCCTCATTTAACAAATTCACAATGCCTTGGCACTTTATAGGTAAAGGCTACAGTTTTCTGGTATGCGGAGGAGCCACAGCCACAAAGAGATGGCCTTCAGGCCACACAGGGTTCTGTTCCTGGGCTGGGAGGTGCATGTAGGACTGCCAGTCCTGGGTCCAGCCTCTCTTCCCAGAAGGCCACAGTGACCTGCTAAGCAGAGACCATACCTCAGGGTCCTGAGGCAAGGGAGGCAGCAGAGGAGATGGTTTTAAAAATAACTAATTAAAGATAATAGTTAACTAAGTAATTAACTAAAGACAATTTAAAGCCCTGGCATCTGCCTGAATCAGATTTACCTTTTGAGAGGATCAGAGGACATGGGGATTTGTCACAAGGAGCTTTGACACTTAGGCGATACTGCCGGATCTGTATCACAAAGGCAAAGAGAGGAGGGGACAGTGTGGTTCTTCTTTTACAAGGGATCAAAACTGCTGTGAGTGCTTCCTGCCACTCGTCATTACTAAACCTACTCAAATCATTTCTTTTAATTCCGCTCAGATTAACTTGGAACTACCATCCTCCTGTGCTGGGTGATCTCCTTAGCAGAAACATCTCAGAACCTGAAACTGTTCTTTTTCCATTTTGAGTGTGCTACTGAAATGCAGACCAGCGTCTACACTGAAGAGGGGACTAGGATGTTGCTGGGTGGGGCAAGCCACCCTCCTGGCTGAGGGGGACGGCGGGGACGGCAGCTCAGCTCCCGGATGCCGGGTCACTGTGGGAGCTCCACTCCACAGGACCAGTGGGGACGCAGCCAGCCCAGCGCCTCCTCTATGGAAGGCCTGCATCAGCCAGCACAGCCTGGGGAGGTGGTCAGCTGTCTGTGAGCACTGTCTGTGAGACTCAGAGCTGCTAGTGGGTGGACAGGCACAGGAGCCCTGGTCTGGCCGGTGGTCACCACTTTTAGGCACTGGCTGAGGACCCTTCCCGCCAGCTGCCTGGCTGCTTGGTTAACTGGGGCGGCACTTCCAGGCTCGGAGCACCAGGCTTCCTCGTGGGGAGGGACTGCCCCTGGGGCCTCCTGGCTGCAGACAGCTCTGCTGGCCCCTCCGTGTGCCACTTCTTCACAGAGCCAGATTTGAAGAGCTTGCTTCTTACTCGTCAGCTTATGCTCATCACATGCTGCTGCAGTGACTCAAAAGCAATTTCCTTCCTTTGACTGGAAATGACAAAATTTCAGTGATATTTCTGAACATTAGTGAATGGGTTTTGACTTTGACTGGAATATAAACATGCCCAATAAGAAGTACCCACCCCCATGAGAGTGTTCCTCGACTGAATGAAGAAGGTTTCTTGTGATCTGCAGACAGGAGGGTATGAACTGCAGTCTGACCGGGGCGGTCGGGCAGCCTTCTCCACCTCCCCCAGTGCTGCAGCTGGCCAGCAGGCCCCACGTTCAGCCAGCCCTTCCTTCAACAAATCCACGCAAAAAAAGTCCTATCTCCTGTTCATGTGCAAGAAAGAACTTCCCAGCAGAATCGAGCATCCTTCCTGGACCTCACACCCTGGGTCCACACTGTGCTACTCAGGACTTGGACGTGGGACCAACGGTGCATCTCCTCAGGGTCCCCGTGCCTCGGGACAGGACTCTGGCCTTCCTGCACAGCCTTCCCTGCAGCGTCCTGGCTGCAGGGACGATGACGCCACTCTCTGCCCACAGCACAGCTATGGAAACTAGCCCGAGTCCAGAGCTAAAAGGACAAAGCTCTTCCCCACTGCCCTTCCCGAAGGCAGGGTCTGCTGAACTCCCAGGGGCGCCAACTGGGGGGGTTCCAGCAGAGGGCCAGGACAGGAGTGGTGAGCATGACCCTTGGCGGTCAGCACGTGTTCTGAGATGCTGGGCCAGTGGGTAGCTTCCAGACTGACCTCCGTTCCCAGGTGGGAAGACCCCACTCAGCCACACTCCTCAGACCACAGTTGGAGCTCCCGCATTTCTGAGCTTTTGTGCCACTTCATGCACAGGAAGGGGTGGCTTTTCAGCTCTCCGGGTAGGCGTTTCCCGTGGAAGACTCCACGAAGCACACGCGAGGAAGCCTCCAAGCCCTAAGCAGAAGCGATGAGCTCTTCAGGCCTGTAGTTCTGCAGGCGCGGTTCAAACGCAGCAGTGACGAGGGCTTGCCAGACGGCCCAGCTGAGTGGCCACAGGCTGCCGAGAGTCAGAGGCCTAAGACGGCTCCTTAACTCAGCACTAGATGCACTTTAACAACAAGCAAGGAGACCAAGACAGTGACAGGGAAAGTGGGGGTCCCGGGGGCCAACCAGGGCAGGGAGGCCTCTTTCAGCTGGGGAAGGGACGGCTCTCCAGAGCTGAGCCAGCCAGAGAGCTGCCCTGGTGCACTCACACTCCTTGGGCACATGGACACGTTAGCCTTTGCTTTGGGGCTGAGAGCGCAGAGGGATGGTGAGGGACACGTTCTTCCCAACAGAGAGGCATTTCTGCTCCTGGCTCTTCTCAGTGGTGCTGACTGCTCCTGCCTTCTCTTTCTCTAACCAGGACAGCAGGAAAGTGACCTGAAAGCTTGTGTTGAGGCCAGACAGCCTGTGGGCAGAGAAGGAGCACGTTCAGCAGAGCACACGCTGCCGCTCCTGGCCCGGGGGCCCCCTTCAGCTCTCCCTGCCTCCGTGTCCTCATCTGTAAAACCAAGTTGGAGGGAAACCAGTGCACAATGTTGAACGTCTGCTTAAGTCATAGAGCCACACAAAGTCCAGCTGTACTGCTATGTTTGCTACGTCTCCGCTTGACCAAGCCATGGAAAGCAGGCACCATGGCAGGGCCACAGTGGCCACCTCACCCCAGCCCGTCTGCCATGGTCTCTCACTCATGGTTCCACATGCATCCCTTGTGTGCAAGGAATTCACCACTGGACAGTCAGTCAGGTGTGGGGAGATGGCATCAAATGATAATGTCCAGGGAGAGTCCAGCGCGCCCAGCTCATGCCTAGGTAGTTCTTAGGGCACACTGGTCTCTGTCATAAGCAGTCTGCATGCCTTGGGTCTCTCAGTGCAGAGACAGCCTGTCCATGCCACTCCACAGAGGAGGGACTGTGGCCCAGGAGGGCACCTGGCTAGTGAGCAGCAGAGCTGGACCAGGAGGTCTGCTGCCCTTGGGAGACAACGTGGTCTGAGGTCAGAGGCCCCTCTGCAGAAGAGAGGTGGTGAGCGGGCACCAGAGAAGCAGGCTAGAGAGGACGGTGGGAAGGAGACCACAGGGGCTGGCAGGGCCCAGGGCTGTCTGAGGACATAGAGGCTGCAGGCCCTGCCTCTGCACCGTCTGCTGACACCGCAGACACAGCTCCCAACAGGACCACAGCCCAGAGCAGAAGCCAACGCGGGCCCATGAAGAGCCTGGCCCTCAGGCCTGTCCCCTGGCCCTGGATGCCCTGCTGGACTTTAGCCAGCTGGCTGGCTCCCAGGTGTGGACCTCCAGGGGTGCATAGGAGAGCCCAAGAGGACTGGGCAAGAAACACAGAGGACAGAACTGCCCAGCACAGCACTGGGCAGAGTCACAAGAGCCCTGACTTAGGGATCCATGCCAGGGGAGGAAGGACAGGAAGCCTGGACAGTTTCCAGTGTTGGAATGGACATAAGGGGCGATAGGAAAGGTCCGTGGTTCACACAGACTCCCGGGCCCTGACCAGGCTGGGCAGCACAAACTTCACAGGGACAGACATCCCAGCCACATGGGCCTGAGACAAAGGGGAGGTTTCTGAGTTCACCTGAGTGTCACTGTGTCACCTGAGACATGACGAGCATGCACTCTTGGCCTGTGACAGTAGGCAGGCAGGATCCCTGTGCCTGGCTGGGTCCCCCAGGGCGCTGGGGCGGTGTGGCGGGTAGGCATCGTGGAGCTGACACAGAGCCACCCCCATTCACTCTGAGAGATCCTTACACACAGGCTGAAGCATGGCAGCTGGCCACAGCAGGACCCAGAGATCTTCAAGACCCACACAGTTCCGTGGGACAGAGCCAGGACAACGCCAGGACAGCAGCCCAGGTTCTCAGAGAAGCTCCGTCAGTACCTGCAAAGACCTAAGCAGACACTCGCCTCCTGGACGGGGCAGCAAAGGACAGAAGGCTCACACAACAACCGGCAGCACTTGGCAAGCTCCATGGCCCAAGCCTCTGGGCTCGCCAGCGGCCTCTGCAGGGGTCATTGCCAGGCCCAGGAGGGAGGCCAGAGGCCCACACGCCTGCCACGCCTCCCCACTTCTGTCCTCGACATCTCCTCCATGGGGCAGGAGCCCCCCAGGGTCAGGGCAGACTGCACACATGCAGACCCAGAAGGTGCCACCTCCCTGTTCCCAAACTCAGGGAAGTTGTACCAGATCCCAATCCTAAGCCTGCCCTGGCCAGCAGTCAGTGCCCCACAGAGGAAGATGCTGTGCTCCTGGGCTCAGCATCCTGAGCACAGTCTGCCACTCCACTCTGAGCCCCAGAGGGCTTGTCAGAGCGTGGTTTATTTACATTTCCTGAACATTCATGATCTTCAAGGCACAGGGATTAGAAGTGTCCATGTTGCCTGCTCCAGGGACAACCAGGTCACACAGCAGGTCAGCTTCACCCAGGCCTACGTGGATGCTCAGGCCACAAGGCAGCAGGGTCCTGCAGCCCACGGTGACTTCTGACTGACCCAGTTGCTGTGAGATACCAAACAGAGTGGAGCAAATCAGTCAGATGGCAAGGGGCTGGTGTGGCCACCTGGTTCCCAGCGGGTAGTCAGCTGGAGGAGAGACAGGCAGTCCCAGGTCCTTGCCAACAGCAGGCCTCTCACAGCATGCAGGTGGCCATCCCTACTGCTCACCTGGGTGGACACACTGTGGCCTGGGCAGCTATGTGGGGCCCTGGCCTTACCCATGCCCTCTGCAGGAGGGGCTGGGCCCATG